GGGGGGGGGGGGGAGTGATTCCTCCTACATACCCATTTAAACAGTGTTTTTAGGCTGATGTGAGACCTAGATGGTTCTGGGGGTGAATGCAGACTTAATCGCCTCATAAATGCCAACTGCAGAGGCATTTCTAGCTCTGGTCTCTTCACTGGATCACGTTAAAATAGCCCATGACACCAGGTATGAAGGTATTAACAATTTCTTTTAAAAATAATTCCTTATCAACAAAGATAATCAGAAGCAGTTGGCCTTCACACTACAGGAACAGCATACTTTCACTATCTTACCTTAAGGTTAGGTCAACTCTCCTCTCTGTCACAATATAGTCCAAAGAAATCTTGTCCATCTTGACATCCCACAGAACATCAAGCCGGAACATTACATTCATGGTATTATACTGATTGGACTTGATGAGCAGGAAGTAGTAAATACCTGAGATGCCTCCGTGAGATATATGCTAGAGGATAGGAGATAATCTCCGTGAAAAGTTCAGAGACTTGCAGTGTTGGTGAAATGTTATGGGCCTAGTGGTCTGGGCACGTTGAAACTGATCCTCTCTAGCAAATAACAAATCGCTGCACCTTGCAAGCTGCATCATGAAGAAGGCACAAATGTGGTGCCCTCTTTGGATTTTGGGAAAAGAAATTCCAAAATCTGCTGCTCTGATGCATGTGCCAGGTATTCATGGGGCTGTCAGAGTTGAGAGGGGACTGGGCAAGAAAAGGATCTGCAACACACCTCTGCTGTGATGAAAGCTGCCCTATATCTTTGGCTCTAAGATCCAGCAATGCAATGGCTTTTGGAAATGTCTGTGGCTATAAAACATCTCTGTCAATAGAAGCATCAGAGTGTAGATCTTTTTTTTTTTTTTTTTTTTTTAAGCAAAGACATGTAATCTTGTACCAATAACTATTCTCCATTTTCAAAGTTCCTCCTAACTTGGTATTGGACTCTGTTTCAGACTGAGAGTACTGGACCATGGGACTCCAAGTGACCGTGTGGCCCAAACTACACCAAATGACCTTGGTGTTACCTGACTCAATATAACACTCAGTAAGATGTGCACAGGAGCATCTCACTGTTAAGTGAAACCAGGATCATGCAGGTTTGGGAAGCCCAGGTATACTTCATGAACAGTAGCTCAGGTGTCCCTGACACCTGCTGCTACTACTGCTTCACAATCTCTCCTCAAGCTACATGTGGGGCCTCATGGGGTGTTCTCAGTGGCCAATACATGGAGGATGAGACTGTGTGGAACTAGTCCTAGTTCATAAACAGATTGCATGGTATTTAGTATGAGCTGTGACCACTGTGTTACAGGCCTACTGAAGGGGGCTAGCCGTAAAATATAGTACTGAAATATCCCCCCAGCAGAATTTCAGACTGTACACTTGGCAGGTAAGGAGAGATATCTGAGGTAATGACCCATGGTTTGGCCATATGGTCAAGGACTTGGAAGAACAAGACTGGAAAACTGGTGATAGGAGGTCTGGGAGAGAGCTGTGTGAACGAACCTCTCAGAATTGGTACAAAGTGTGATGACATGTCCAATGTGAATTCCCTCTAGAAGGTGTCCACTGTGGAGAAGGCTCTTAGTTATCTGGTCAAAAGTGGCTGATGGGTGGCCCAAACCAATCAGACAATCTATTTTATGAATCAGATACTTTACCTAGCTACTCTTGTGCCTGCTCAAGGAAGTGGCCCGTGTATAAAGTGACAAGGGGTGACAGGGATGAAAACTGTGTGTGGGTCCAGCAACACAGGCTTTTCCCTCTCTATGATTTACCGCCACCACTACTGAGTTCACAGCTTTCTAATGCTGAGACCCTGATAGGGCACCATACCCCAAGGGGATTAACCAGTCAATTGGTAGCAGGCATTTTACATTGGACAACTTTTAATATAAAGGAGGGAGAAATTTATCCTTATAGGGTGTAATAGACACTCAGGATATAGATTTATATTCCCTTCCTTCAGTACGTCTGCAAGCTCCTCTCCACATGGATTTAACAGAATGTTTTACCAAGTACCATGGTATTTCTTAAAATATTGCCTTCAACCAGAAAACTCATTTTATGGCAAAGGAAATATAGCAATGGGCTCAAACCTATATATTTCACTGGTCATACTTCATGTCCCATCTCCAGAATCACCTGGGTAAACTGAGGGGTACAACAGTCTACTGGTGGAGTGGTCCATGTATGGCTGCCAGCAGGGAGAAGTTTGGGTGTATTCTATAGGATATGATATATACCTAATGCCATCTCCTCCACAACAGCAATGCATGAGTCTGAGAACAGAGGTTAAGCTAGGAGTGGCTACAATACAAATACACCCAGTAACTCATTTAAAGAATTTTTACTTCCTGTGTTGAAATCTTGGGATTGGTGTTTTTGGCAATCTCGGTGCCCAAGGGAAGAATGTTTCCACCACGGATCAGAGTTCTGGTACTGTTGTTTGGGACACTGAGATGACTCTGTGGCTATTTGGGGCATCTCAAGCTGCTGAACTATAGGGAGAGAAGTGGGCTATTGGTTGGTAATTTTTCCAGATTACTAAGATGATTTGAGGTCATTGCTGTGTGATAGGGGCAAAGACGACTATGTTCAGAATTCAGGAGATTCACTGAGCTGCCCCTTAAAAAAACCTGCCCAATAATCTTACTGTAAAACTGCACTAATACTGGTTATTGTAAAACTGCAGGAATCCAAGAAAGGAAGGACCACCTTTGTGAACTTGTAGAAATAAGGTTTGGTTTATTCATTGATCAGATAATAAAACCTGTCCAGCCTAGGTGCTAAAAAAAGGTGAGTGGGAGACAGAACTAGCATTGGAAGAAGAACTCTATGATGACCTATTTGAGCTTTCTGACCAGTTAGTGAAGCACCGAGTTTAGCAGCTTTGTTTCATGTTATCTCTATTGTGAAAAGCATTAGCGGTGGCTAATATTTTAGATGTCAGTTGTAAGAGTGACTGAGTTGATATCATCACCCCTTGATGATGCGGTAGCTGAATGACACCCCTCTCTCCTTCTCATCACTCCGTTAAACTCTCTTTAATTAGCCAGTTTGAGTACGCTGTTTATATAGCTGCAGAGTCATGCCTCGATATACCAAATTGCAAAATCAGCATGATTGTAGTTATAGGGACCATGGTGGGGGGTTTTTTGTTGATTTTTTGGGACCTCAAAGTAGCAGTATACTAATTTGTAAAAATACAGTTTTACAGAAACAGCTTCAATTTATACACACAAACTTTACAATTACACAGAACCATGTAAATAATATAATGGGTCTGGCCTCACCAAAGCTAAGCTGGATTGGCCTACTGGATGACATCTCACTTTATCACCCACCAACCAGGTGCCTGAGATGGGCCATGCCTACTTTGCAAAAAGAAGCTAATTGCAGCTGCTCAGCTCAGTCTAACACAAAAACCAAGGTGCCCTGACTTGTGAGACACCACCCACAGGGATAGAGCTGCTAAAAGAACAAAAAGGAAATCAAGGAAACAGACTTAGATGAACATTGAATGCCTTCCAGACGTGTCACCAGGCACTGAACCTTCCAAGAATGCAGCAATTGCCAGGTAAAGAAACATGTACACTAAGCCATAATATTAAAAGCAACCCAATTTTACAAAGAATAAAACATATTTAAACTTATTCTGCCTCAACTTCATGCAACAGATGCGTTCATAAAAAGCTTTGTTTTATATAATCCTTGGTCTACTTGACAACACTTTAATAAGTACATGGCTAGCTAAAGAAAATAACTGCCATGTCTTAAACATCTTTCAATACAGAATAATTTTATAATAAAAATTACCACTTTAAGATACAGCTTTAATAGCATAATTAAAAAAAAAAATGTCATAGTTGGAAATAAGTGAATTACTTTGAGTCAGGGAGGAAGGTAAAATACATAAAGTATTTTGTTTTAATGCTTGCGTTAATTTCATTTTTCTGTAACTGCCCCAAATTTGAGTTAATATCTAACAGTTTTACATATTTCACACTCAGGTTAAAAAAGTAGGTAAAGCCTTAAGACTTAACAGGAAAAATGTAAAGAAAGATAATACAAGTACTACCTCATAATACACAGCACTCTCTAATACAATTTGTCAAAGTAGATGAAAACATCACTTCCATCATATCCTTATATTAAAATTAAATTTTAATATATCATTAGGAATAGAAGGAGCATATGAAACCAGCTTGAGAGTAATTCTATGTTAATTTTCCACCTTTAACTTCTTGGTTATGGCAATTCAAGATAAAAGTCAAATGAGATTCATTCAGATTTCTAATCATTCCTTCTCTTTCATGTACTATATTCTAGCATTTAAAAAAATATCAGATTTATTCCAGATTTTTAATGATAATTTATAAAGCAGAGAAAAGTTCCAGAGAGCATCTAATGACTATGGCTTGAGAGATGAAACAAGAATTAGCCAACTTTCTAAAGAGCATATTTTCAAGTTTAAAAATAGCAATATGTGGTCCCACTGAGGTCCCAGCCTGGGTGTCGTAATCAGTCAAAAAAATAAAATAAAAATCACAGCTTTCATCTTGTCTATGGTAACATCAGCATGTAACAATGTTATTTTACATTATCCTGGATTAACCATAATTATTGGGCTGATCATTATAAAATTGAAAAATCATAGAAAACTTATATAACAGCTGTTTTCTTATTTCAGTGACTTAAAGAAAATAAGAGACTTCAGTTGACAGTGCTCCTTTTGGCCAAGTCTATAAGAAGGGCCACATGCATCGTCCAAAATTTATTAGCTATTCAATGTACACAAATAAAAATACTGTCTAGGTCATCCCTAGCTAGTATCAAAGCTGTAAGTTACTTTGTATTATCTATGGCACTCTCCTGAATTCTCAAATTTTAGCTTTCTTCTCAAAGACTTGCTGACACTTACCAGAATGGGTCCTGAGGTGTCCTGTGAGGGCGTCCCTTCTTCTACACGCATAGCTACAGAAAGGGCATTTGAACGGCTTCTCTCCAGAGTGTAGCTTTATGTGTCTCAGAAGGTTGCCCTTCTGAGTAAAAGAAGCTCCACACTGGTTACAGTGGAAGGGACGTTCACCTGTGGGAAGGAAAAGAGATGAGAAAGGTCAGGTAGGTTACGTGCAAGTGACTATTTCATCACATACTGTTAACTAGAGCCAGTCCTCCATGCTGAGAATATTCACCTTCCTTCTAAGTCTTCTAAACCCTCACCTCCCTAGAATTTGCTTTGTAAATACAACTTCTCAAATTTCAGGTCAAATGTTGCTTCCCCTCCATACAAATTTTATAGGATTCCTGTCACGGACTCAAAAGAGTAAGAGTAATAGGATTGACAATTGGTGGAATAACTAACTAGGTGCCATCACTTTGCTGACGTCACTGGTCACTTTACATATAATAATTCAGTCCCCATAATGACATATCTAATCAGGCATCTATAATTTCAATTTACAAATGAAGAAACTGGAGTGCGAGTATCAAAGTATCTGACTAGAGTCACAGAGCTAATAAGCACTCAGTCTGATAACTGAACCTTGCTCAGTTTGACTCTCTCTTGCTCTCTACTGTACCATGCTGTCTTTAAAAAATCACATCGGTTTTGAGTTGAAAGGGACCTTTAGTCTAACTCTCTCATTTAGCTGGTCATTTTCTTAACAGGGGACAAGAGAGGTTCAGTGAATGAACCCAGGTTACAAAGCTCATTACCACAAAATCTCCAAATATCGCTGAGGTCTCTCAATTCTACTCACTAACAGGAAAAGCTCTGGCAAAACTTCCTCACAGAATGAGAGAAAATCCAAGAAAATTATTCCTTTAGATATTTCTTATATATCCTTTTTGTTGTGAAAATCATTTGTTTGACAGGCATCTTTCCTCCTATTACTGATATTGTTATAAACTGTTTAAGCCATAATTATCAGTGCTGTCTGTTGTCATCAACTGGCTGTCACCAGCATCATCAAACATAAACACGTGTAGTTGATAAAGCAGTAAAATGGGCAAGTGGATCAAACAGGTACCATTAATCAAACCATGAAGAAAATACTAGCATTTTGAGTTTGTCTACTTCTAAAGACAGACATGAAACATATAATACATTAATAGATAAACAGTATAAATATGTCATAGTAAAGCTCAAAGTTTAGAATAAAAATAAAATTTAAAAAAAATTCCCTTTTGGTTAAAACTGGACCATTTCTGTACTTGAAATTAGATAATGATTAAAATTTTAATAGATAATTTTTTGAACTGAATTGTCATGTTTAATATCTTTAACGGAAACATTTGTAATAGTGAGTAATAAAACCTCAACATTTGGGGGGTACCTTTAATATAATACAAACTCAGTGATTCTTTTAATTAAAAATATGTAGGGAGCATAAAGAAAAGAAATGGGTCCTTTTCTAGCAGCTGCCACTGGACACTTTAGAGCGATATAAATGCTAAAGAAATTGAAAAATTGATAGATCAGGTGTATCTTGAATTCTGTAGTACTTGCTCATTTTGTAAATTTAATAAGACTCATATTTTAAAAAGTGTAATTTGGGTTAAGGTATTTTCTTAAGAAGTGTGGAGAGCTTATAAGCTAAGTTTATAAAATGCCCTATACTGATGTATTTAGTTGAAAAAGTTATCTCTTATCATGTTAAAGTTGCCTTATATTTAATCTTAGTTAACTTTTGTGATTCATTCGTTAAAACTGACGAATTAAATCAACACTAAATATAGTTTAAAAGAGAAATACCTGACCTAAAACCTCTTGTACGCAGTCTTACAAAACAGTAAACAATTTAAAATAAATCTAATTTGGTAATACTTGTTTATTTTACACATACATATGCACGTACACATGCAAACACATGCACACACATATAAATTTCACTTAATTTTTTGACTTCTGTTTCAATGGAATAACACTCTACAACTTTTTAAAATCAGGGCTTTCTACTGCCCACCGCTGCCATGGAAATAGTAACAAAAAGAAAGAAGGAGGCACTTTCTTCATGAAATTAACTTTTTAGACAGTAGGAAAACAGCAAATTTAAATCATAATTTTCACTACAAATATTTTATTTTACGTTTGAAATCTGTCTATGTAGAGTTTCCCAAGCAAGTGACAGATCAGTATGCAGTAACTCTAAAATAAATTAAATTAGGGTGGTGAACAAAAACATTTGAAATCATGTTTGCCTTTGGAAAATACTCCACTAACATGTTAATTAGATTTTTTTGAAGCTTCCTACAAGCCTCCTACAATTGAAGTATTTTAAAACCCTGATTTTAGAGAACTGAATTTATCATTTAATATAATGCAAATCTAAACGCTAAAAAATAATAAACATAACTCTTTTCAAAGTAATTTTTATTTATTTTTAATTTTTAAATATATCTTTATTGATTTCAGAGAGAGGAAAGGAGAGGGGGAGAGAGAGATAGAAACATCAATGATGAGAGAGTCATTGATCGAGCCCACAACCTGGGCATGTGCCCTGACGGGGAATCGAACCCCGATCGCCTGGATCCCAGGTTGACGCTCAACCACTGAGCCACGCCTGGCCGGGCTCAAAGTAATTTTTAGATTCATCTAATTGCATTTATGGGATTAATGGCAGGGTAATTCAGTGTTTTCTTTAGTTTTAAAGATTTTTTAAAAATTTATTTTGAGAGAAAGAGGAAAGGAGAGGGTGAGAGAGAAACAGGGATGTGGGAGGGAAACACCAATCAGCAGCCTCCCGCATGTCCCCTACCAGGGATCGAGCCCACAACCCGGGCACGTGCCCTGACGGGAATCGAAACAGCAACCTCTCAGTGCACAACCAACTGAGCCACACCGGCCAGGGCCATAATTTAGTTTTAACAGTTACAAAATATTCCAGATATCTTCAAATATTTTTTAATAAGGATTACTCTGAATTTATATAATCACCCTTAAAGGGGCAGGAGAAACAGAAAGGGGTGTAGGTATGCGGGGAAATCTTGCCACATTGCTGAATGCGGCGAGTCTTAGCGTGGAGGCATCTGCTATGTTCCCGTGGCCGTGGGCCGTGAAGAGGCAGTGTGGAGGTGAGCAGTCATGCTCCCATTTGGGGGAAGAGGGAAGAGCCAACGTTAACAGTGCACTCTGATTTCAATCAGATGAACCTCTGAGGAAGATAGATCTGCTTTACAAGGACTGTCCTGATTTTCTTTTTAATTCTTGGATACTAATTCTACGGCTTTACTCGTTTGGGGCTGAAATATGCTTAATTCCTCTTAATGTCTTGATTATGTGATTATGTAAATGACAATTATTTCCACAATCCCCTACTTTCTTGCATGTGTTCCACACTAAATCTAGTTGGAATTACAGGGGAAACCCTCAATAACACTACTGCTGAAGTCAAGGATGAAAATAGTGTAACTTACGAGACATTTTCTCTAGTATACCTTGTTATATTCTAGGGATAATCCAAATGGAAGAGTCAAATCCAAATCTGTTTAATAAAAAATCAAAAATAATGAGATTGACTAATTTTTTCTAAAAAGCAATCCCTGTAAAATGGGAGCAATCCTTTTATTAAATGTTTTGGGATTTTCCTGGCATACAGAAATATGTGTAAAATGATCTGATAATTAAGTAAAAGGTTCAGTTAACTACCTATTTTGTCTGTGTAACTTGAAATAACACATCTCAATTATTTCTTTTTTACTAATTTTTCTTTGATAAATAGACTGAGTCCATTGGTCCTTTTAAAGTCAGTTTAGACCTTGTCTGAAAAACATGACAATGTTCTTCTTCAGATGTAAATAAAAGCAAATTTCAAGAAAACCCCATAAATTTACTAAACACATTAATGACATTACAGTGGGATTCAATTTTAAAAAATCAGAGTAGGCTATTGTGTCTGTGATAACTAACCCACCTGTAAGTGGGAATGCAAGTCTGGATTAACAACTCTGGATCCATTCTCATTCTGTTTTGTGTTTTTAAATCAATCTACTAACCTACTCAAGGGCCACTTTTAGATATTTACTGGCTGAAGTTATCTTATTATTCTATGGAATAAATAAATTGTATTTCAATATTTTATGTACTTTCATAAACACATTTCTAGATTTGTGTTTAAATATTCAATTGAAATGCAAGTGTACATGCATCACTTTGCTTTGGTGAATCAAAGACAGAGGGTGTTCCTGTGTCCTATGGAACAATAACCCATGAATATGAAAAATCAACCCCTGGAGACAGGGCCTTGGAGCTGGAGGATGGCTCCACAAAGCTGCACTGTGCAAAATACTGTGCTGAAAACTCTAAGTTACAAAAGTTGAGGGTACTCTCTCCCAAAGGGGGGGCAAGATTAACGGCTGTTCTGTGCTTATAATATTTACATGAATTTGTGTTTATGCATGAATTGAATTACTGCCCCTACTTCTTTTCTTCTCCTGGTGTTCCCAATGAAGAGTGCCTGGTGTATCTGATGACAATATTGCCTGATTACCTACTAAAGTACCAATGCCAAAGAAATGACACCAACCCATTAATAAGACACTGGATTGGCACTTTAGTGGAGTACAAAAGAGGAGGAAGTGAAATTGATCTGATACTCCATGGCATTTACTGAATTGGGACGTTGTGTATCTTTTTTACACTATCAGTTTTATATTAGATATTTTTAAAACACAGAAACATGTTTCCCAAAGGCTTTATAAACATTTAAGACAGTGCATTTTATACTAGCCCTAGATAACTGGTGAGAGGTGGAAGTTCTAAAATGAACATGGTAGTAAGAAGAAAACACTTGGTGAATGGCTAGATTTTGACAGCATTTTCCCCCTAATCTAGTTTAAATTAAAGAAATTCAAGTAGACATTCTATTCTAGTACTAAAATGGAGTATAAAATGTCATGAGCCACTCAGATGCATAAACTAGGTCAGCAGAAATACATACAAAAATAGCTAATTTTAAAAAATATCACAATTTCAAGGTCAACAATGTGGCAGGTATCCCAAGCCTCTCTATGAATGACTACTACTTTAACAAGACCTTCCATACCTGAGGAAAGTGTAAGAATTTTTACAATACTCCAATAAACATTCATTAACAGTATAAGTTCATAGAGTTGCTAGAGTGCTTTAAATGGTTTATTTAGTCTACTCTCCTTGCCTATACGAGCTGAGTGAATCTCGTATTTCTAGGACTTGTGGAAATCTGTATAACTATTTAGAAACATTTTCCATGTCAGAAGTTTCATAATGAAAATAATTCAACTCTACTACAGTAGTAAATATCAAATGATAGTAGAGTAGGTATATAATTATTACTGTTTACAAACCAATAATCCTCATAAAAATCACTGCAGACAGTGAAACATTGATAGCCTAAATTTTCAAGAGAGGCTACCCTCTGAATTTTCTTAACTCGGATCATAACAGGTTTATTAAAAGTTTACAAAAATTGTTTTAGTATACTTTTCAGCCTTAAAATGAACACTACAGGCAATGCAACTGAAAAGTCATTAGACTGGTTTTGTTTTGTTTGTATGTTGCTAGATGGAAGAAGTTAAAAATTTGAATGAGTGTCTTCCTCAACATAATCAACCTGAGATAACTTTGTGCAACTCTCCTTTTAGAACTGCAGTTAGAATTATTTCATGAACATAGAAGAAAAGTAGACTCATTATTTTACAGTCTTTTCCTTTTTTATCTTATCAAATATGGTGTCTAAGCTTGACCTTTTAACATTCCCACGAGACATTTTTAAAAATTAAAGGGAAAAAACCATTTTTAGTAGTAATATAAATATAACTATAAAATTTTAAATATAAATAATTTAAAATATAATGTCATTTAAAAGAAAATTTGAAACAAGTAAAAATGTTAATGCCTGTATGGTTGGAATAATCTTAAATCCTTACAAAGTTGATGATTTTGATTAAAGTAACAGATTTTAACATGTAACTTCTTACTATACTTTTTAAAATATCAGCCATATTATAGTAACATCTCATAATAAAATGTACGTATTCTGATGCGCCAAGCATTGTATATTTGAGCAAAACCACTATGGGCATCATGAAACCTTGGCTCTGGCCTCACAATGCCCTTAACTACAAAAGGGATAATAGATGAATTATGGCTGATTTGGGCTTCAGTTTCTTCCTTTGTAAATGGGAGGGCTGGACCAAAAACTTCAATGTATCTTGTCCTCTCACGTTTTAAGCACCTACTAATCATCTATAAATCAACATTTTAAGTCATTTTCTTTACTATAATTTATCTCTCTTCCAGAAGAGTGTCATATTTTGAAGTTCTGAGTGTATTAGTTATTGGTGTTTTGCTAAAAAATACTACTCTGCAATACAGTTAAAGTTAGCATTATCTTTAAATCAATTTTCATATGAACTTGAAACTTTTTTTGAAGGGTCAACTATCTGCCAAAATCACATTTCTGTTTTTTTTTTAATTTTTGCCAAAGGATGTGAACAGATTTAAACACGGCCTTTTCATTTGGCTGGTTTTTCACATTACTCAAATGTCTAAAAGTATGTATTAAATTAACCTGATGTCTTTTTCCTCACCTTACTTCATGATTACAGAGTTCTACCTGCACTCTTTGCTATACCCCACCCTACATATCTCCTTGCAGGATTTATGATAAAAAAATTATACAAAGTTGGTAAAATCCTCAAACTGAGGAATATAAATATCTGCTTACTACAGAGACCCATGGCAGGCCAAGATTGACTGGAAATTGTATTCCAAGAAATTAACTCAATAAGGTGAAAATGATCCACCCCTATATAAATGCATGAGTACCGTTGTAGAGTATAAGCTCTTAGCTAGCAAACTGCATTGCCTGCCCATGGGTACAGTAAAATATGTATAGAAATACAAAAAGATTAAGTTACACAATGAAATTCTCCTCTACCTTTTCAACCTTATCATATTATTGTTATATTAAGAACTGCGGAAACTGAATCCCAGACTTCTTTTCTGATTCACTACTCAGATTTGAAGGCTGGAAGTCAAGACCCAGGCTACTCCCTGCTCTTCAGCAACCCAACCCTAGCAGAATCCTGAGAAGGTAGTTTCACCACTGCCACCCCTGAATAAAGAGGAAAGAGAACAGATGCCAGGTCATATCAACATCAGACGCCACAGGCAGTCATCAGGTTATTCTCAGCTGCTTACCAGTGTGACTCCTTTTATGTACCATAAGCACATTGGGCCCAATGCAAACCATGCCACAGACGTCACATTTCAGTTTACCATTCGGAAGCCGGATTCCTCCCTCGCCTTGAAGCTCCTGGACTTTCCTGTTGTCAGCCACCTCGCTGCTCTCAATTAGGGGTTCTTCTAGGCTGCTACCCTCATCATGGCCCCTGATCTCGTCTTCGCGGCTCAGGGGTTTCCTGTCACACTCTTCATCACTCTGCATTTCTAGCTTTACTGAATTTGCTGTAATTTAAAAAGAAGAAAGGAGAGACGTTAAATGCATGTCTTGTATTGTCACCCGCATCCTTCTTCCACCTGCTGCCCTTCTGTTAACAAGGTTGTAAATGCTGTTTTAAGTAGAATGCAGTCCATCGTCAATGCAATGTTAACACGTACTGTGCTTACTCTACGACATTTTAGTAAAGCTTTGTCATGAAAGTGAAGATGGCTCAGGAAAGCTCTGAGAGACCAGAATGATGCTTTATTTCTGCACACATTTCTTTCTTTTTTTAAAATTAATTTATTGAGGTGATATTGGTTAATAAGATTATATAGGCTTCAAGTGTACATTTCTATGACACAGGATCTGTATGTTGCATTATGTGCCCACCGCCCACAGTCAGATCTTCTTCTGTCACCATATATTTAACCCCCTTTACCCCAACTATCCCCCCACTCCTCTTCCCTCTGGTAACCACCATACTGTTGTCTGTGTCTATAAGTTTTCCTTTGTTTGTTTTTCTTGTTTGTTCATTTGTTGCTTTCAGTTTTATATCCCAAATGTGAGTAAAATCAGTTATATACTTTTTAAAGCAAGTCTCTAAATAATTCTGATACTGGCTTTTGAGTTTGTCATTAAGGCTACTGAGACGGAGTTAGGATCATGGAAGAGACAAGATTAGATATTGCTCAATCCACTGAGACAGACCTCTTCTTAATTTAACAATCATTTTACACACACACACACACACACACACACACACACACACACACACACACACTTCATAGTCTGTGTTTCACATCAGAGCATTAGGTAAACCTCCTTCTGAACTGAATAAGAGAAACAACTCAGGATATTAATCCAGCAAATGTCTTAGCTATATGACGGCACACTGTCAAGGCAAATACCCTAAAATCAGACTAAACACATACATTCAGTTAAGAGCTGTATAAATGTGCTGCAGAGTACACAGACCTCACATGCTCTTAAGCTACTCTGCTTTTTTTCCTATATGAAAAAAGTTCTCCATGGAACATAGTCTGCAAATCAAAGTATTTCAACTTGAAAATGTGCACACTGAAAAGCAATGAATGACAGGAATGGCATAGCCTGCGTGCACACACTTGTGCCTGTTGAGAAATGTAATGCCTTCTGTTTGCTGTTCTTGGATCATCCCAGAGAGAAAAGTTGGAATTTTGTTAGCACGGCCCTCATTCTGGATTGCTGACAGAGTCTTTTCACAGAGCAGAAGCAAGTTTTAAGTAAATACCAGTTATTTATCCAGTAATCTTGAAAATTTCTTAAGAAATCATATCAAAGTTACTGAGAGAAACAAATTATTTGGTATTACTTGAATAGAGGAAATATTTTCATAAAAGGAAGCTCTTTTCACTGCACTTGTTTTCTTAGAGAAACCACACATTCTGTGATTTGTCATTAGTACTTATGATGGGTAGTGCTACCAAAATGGCTCTCCCCCTGCTCCCTCCCTGGAACTCCCCTACCAACTAGAGGCAGTGTGGTACACCGAGGAGATCACTGGACTGAGCCAGGAGAACATGGCTCTAGCTCTGGCCCTGACATTTACGAGCAGTATAATCTTGGACTAACTATTTAACCTCTGAATCTCATGTCTTTTGTTTGCAGAGAGGAGATGAATTCAGACTACAGAATAAAGTTTAAACAGAATAGTTTAGCTGTTCATACTGAGGGTCCTGTAACTTGGACCTGAATACTGGCAATGGCACTTAGTACAAGCCGCATCGCCTTCTGCGTCCTCTGTGAAGAGGGGGGTGATAATGGCATGCAGGTCCTAGAGCTGATGTGAGCATTCGGTGAGGAAGTGTAAAAAATGGGCTTGGCTGTTATTTTTCTCTGGACAGACAGTGCTCTGGTCCATAAGGCTTTTGTGCAGATAAATTAACTTATAGGATGTAAATACTCTGAGATCTAAAAGGGATATATAGCCTACCTGGCCTCATCTCTAACAGAATATCTACTACACTGAGTTTTACCCTATTTACAAATTAGTACTGCTTTACTGATTTTTCAGAAGAGTAGAAACAATATCTTATCCATCTTAATATCCCCAACAAAGTCAAGAAATTGGTGGCATATAGGAGGTATTTCAGATAGTATTTAGTTAGGTGTCTACGTAATTCAGAGGTGGGGAACGCCCGGCCTGCAGGCTATATAAGGCCCTAGAAATCATTTGGTCTGGCCCATTTGGTATGTTAATTAAATGTTTGACCAAATATAGGAAGCTAATTTTTAAGCTGATAATTTTGTATGGCCTGCGAATGATTTTATCAATATCCAAATGGCCCTTGACAGAAAAAAAGTTTCCCCCAACTCCTGCTGATTGATTTTTTAAATTTATTTCTCTATACTTGTTTTATATGTTTAAAGAATCCATGAACTTTCTTGAGAAAAATTAATCAACATAAAAGATGAAAAGTGAAGTCCTTTCCTACCCATAGTTTACCATCCCTAAGTTCCAGTCACAAATGCAACCATATCCTCATTTCCTAATTCAGTATTGTGTGTGTATATGTGTGTGTGGATATACAGTCTCTTTTTTACAAAAATTGGACTGTATAACTCACCTCACTTTAAGTTTGCTTTCTTCATTTAACAGTATCTGTTTAATGTTTTACACATTAGTACTCAAAAATTATATTGTTCCTTTTTAAAACCTGCATATATTCCAGATAAAAATTTATTGTAATTTATTCGTCTAGGTCCTATCAATAAAGATTTAAGATTATTTCTTATTAATTGCTATTATAGGTATTATTGTATAATACCACAAAGAACTAGCAATCTGATCTATAATAATTGGTACTTTACTCTAGTATTTAATCTGCATTTTTTATGAGTGGAGTTGTGCATCTTTTTCTATGTTTAAATTTGGTGGCTTTTTTGGAGAACTACCAAAGTTCTTTGTCCATTTTTCTAGGTTGTCAGTCTTATCTCACTGTATTTAAATGCTTCATATACTAAGGAACTTAGCTCTGTTTGGTATGTATTGATGTATCTTTTTGCTAAAGGGTATATTTTAGCATGCATTCTAATTGTAAATTTTGAATTTTTTTAAGGTTTCAATATGGCTTTTGGATTCTGTATCTTGCTTTAATAGGTTTTTCCAGACTCCAAGAAATTCTTCTACGATATATTTTTCTGGGAAGGAAGAGTTTTCTGATCAGTGTAAAACATGACTTGGTTATCATATGTAATCCAATATTTCACTCATAATTGTCATTTAAAGAAAAAAAACTGAGAAAACAAATGAAAAATATGACTTTATATAGCATTACTTCACATACTAACCTATGAGCAAATTGTCCCATACATTTATTTTAAGTGATGTAGTCAAGATTACAAACTTCACAGAATTCTCATCATTTATATTTCTGAAATAGTCAACATCTGATAAGATGTATTTAATGAGTATAAAGTCTATCAGTATTCCAGTTCAGGAACTGAAGAAATGTGTATCTTAAAGAGTAGTCTTAGAGCCTGAAACTACAGGCCTCTTAAGTTTCAAAACAGCATATAATAATTAAGAATATGACTTGAAGCCCTGGCTGGGTAGCTCAGCTGGTGAGAGCACTGTCCAGATACGTAAATGTTGCGGGTTTGATCTCCAGTCAGGGCGCATACAAGAATCAACTAATGAATGAATAAATAAGTGGAACAACAAATCGATGTCTCTGTCTTTGTCTGTCTCTCTCATATAAATAAATATAAAAGAATTGATGTTACATTAAATTATCATATTTTCCCTAATGAGAGTACCATAATTTGGACATCAAAATATAATATCAAATATAAGTAAGAATGTGATTTAAAAAATTATTGTATATTACAATTAGAGTTAAGACTTTCTATCAACAGAAGAATAAACTTGAAATGAAAATTCAAAAAAGTATATATTTTCTAGACCTGAAATTGGAAATGGTAAGCTATAGTAATCTTTATCAATATTATACACTAAGGAACTACACATTTATCCAGTATGAATGTACATACTAAGCTATATTGATATAGTAAGTCAATAAACTGCAATACATTTTTTTAATCCTCACCTAAGGGGATGTTTTTTAATTGATTTTAGAAAGAGGAAGGGAGAGGGAAGGAAGGAGAGAAAGAAAAACATCTCAACCAGTTGCCTCCCATAAGCACCCAAACCTGCAATCTAGGCATGTGCCCTGACTGGGAATCAAACCCACCACCGCTGGTGTAGGGAAGACACTCCAACCAACTGAGCAACCCAGCCAGGGCTGCAACACATTTTTATATATACATCTCATACATTAAATTTTCCATGCATAGGGTGGCCTATGTACAAACAAAATCCCATCCTAATTTTTTAACCCATCTCACTGAAATTAGGTTGAAATTCTAGGATAAAGAACAATTAATTAACAAAGTAGTCTTTAAACTTTAACAGTGAAATAGAAAAGAATTTTCCCTACTCAAAGAATATAAAAGAAATTCTGGCACAATTTATGTTCAATGTTTAAGATGTTTCTAATTAATGAGAGCACCTATATTTTAACTCATTAATGATTAAATTCAAGTGCTTGGTAAACTTAAGTATACTCTAAATTATAATTTATATATTAATACAAGAGTTCTATTATGATTACTTGTAGCTATAATATATAAAGCTGTTATAATTATTAATCATTATATAATAAGTACATTAGGTATCAAACTTTTGAAATGAAATTCTCACTCTTCATATATGGTATTTCTTTTGCAATTTTGTAACAGGAAGACATTTTCATAAGTGGGCTGATGTCTATAAAGATGAGAACTTGTTAGTGTGAATGAAATGAAACATTATTACAAATCTCTATCCTAAGAATTATTTTTAAGCTTGTTTCCTTGATATGAAATGAAAAATATAAAATTCAGGCATATCTGTGGGAATTTACAATTATTAAGTACTGTCAAGCAATACAGCTTAATAAAAACAATATTTTGTTAGAACAAATTATTAGAGTAAAAAGGGAAT